TCAGGAGACTAATTTACACACATGCCGAGATACTAATTTACATACATGTAGAGAAATTAGTTTACCAAAAAAAAATTATAATCAACCATAATTAGGTAATTCTATACACAGTAGAAATGAGAAACCAAGCTTTACAAAAAAAAATAATCTCTATTATTTAATATCAAAATATCCCTAAAATTTTTATCCAGTTTTGGTCAACATTATAAAAGCTATTCAAGATCACTTTCTATGATTATTGTTATACCAGGAAGAAGACTTTCATGTACAATTTCATGCCAGAAGCAGGCAAAGATAGTAATAACCATGACTAATGACTCGTTGCTTAGTAGAAATATGAGACAACTACTCCGCCCCGATTATAGACCTGTAGAATCCATGGAAAATAATGAAGATAGTTTTACATTATGAGGTGGTCGTGGGAAAGCTGATGCTCTCGTTTGTTGAGGTTTTCGAGCACGTTTTTCGCTACTGAATATTGGGGATATTCATATTTGTAAGATCGGGGGATAATAAGAATGTTGATTTACTGGATGTCACTAAAGAGAATAACCCTAAGAATGATCATAATGAGGGAACTTATATTGAGATGCTGCCTAGTGAGAACTATGCAGTCATGCGTGCAAATTTGTTTAAGGATCGTGGATTAAACATTAGTGATGAAATTGAAATATAATGAAATCTTAGGACTTCAAATTTTATATTCAAATTAATTTAAAAGGGACTTCTTGATGAAATTTTTGATAAATTTTGCAAGGAGACTATAATAAAAAATAGATAAACTTGTATATAAGATGCTTAACTGTTTAAATTGATAGAAAAATATAATACGATAGAATTTGATAAATTATTTTAATGATAGAAAAACTAAAATTGGTAAAAATAATAATTTGGTTATACTAATGTTTGGGAGTGAAAGAAATTTATTAGCTATTAAAATATAAATATTTAAATATAGTACATCATTTGTGTAATTTAATTTATTTTAACTAATTATATATTATTTATTATAGGTTATGTTAATCAATACTGTTAAATGAAAATTTCAAGTGATCTATGTGTGAAGACATACGTCAAATATAGTACATCATTAAAGATGAGGGTATTTTATAATTTCTCCTCTTAAAATTTCTCTCTTTTCTTTTCGTCCTTCTTGCTTTTTTCGCTTTTTTTCAAGTGAGCTGCAACTGATTTTTGCTATGGTGAATTTTTACTGAGATTTTTTTATTGCTCCTTTTTTTATGTATTTGTTCTCCTCCATTTGTTGCTGTCGGGCTTTTTTTACGTATTTGTTGAAATTACTTTGTTAGACCTTTTTCTTCTGGGGAGGAAGAAAGCCTTTCCAGATCTGACAATAAAATGAATATCTACTTCTACTCCACTTTATAAATCTAAAGATCAATGGTAAGAAATCCTTGATCAACAGTTTAATAGCACAAAAGAAAATTCTATTATGATAAGAAAACTCAGATGAGAGATTCATGGTTTTGGTCAGCATAAGAAAATTCAAATAAATTCAACTGATAAGGATAAAATAGAAAAGCCATTGAAAATACAAATTTGCTTCTGAAAGGAAGCAGGTATTTCTCTCTCTATAAAGAATGCAGTGATTTAGGGGGAGTTTGTTTTCTCTCTCTAAAAAATGTCTGATTAAGAGAGAGAAAGAGTGTGTGTTTGTGAGTTGTGTGTCTCTCTCTTGAAATTGCTTTGTTGAACCTGAGACATAATATATGAATTATCTTTGTTTTCTCAATCGGTCATGTGTTTCGGAATTGATTTTTGCGACATCTTAAATTTTATCGGTAAATTCAGAAGCAGTTCGCTGTTATCTTTTTAAATTTATCTAGTTTTGTTGTATGTGCTGGAATTTGGTAATTTAGAAAAATAAAATTTACCTCCTCGATACAGGTCAATAAATTTTTTCGGATTTTACTCCTGCATATATTGTTGCCTTTACTAATTACTTTTTATATGGTTAAAATCTTAAAATTCGAATTTTACTCCTGCATATATTGTTGCCTT